TAGTATTAATTGTGTCGTTTCTTCCAGATAATAGCTTCAGTAGCACTCTTCATGAACACTACAAAGAAGCAGGCAGAATTTCATGCATAAAATGGCGGCAATTTTGCTTGGCACTGTAGCCAAAATTAATCACCATGGTTAAAGCATTTGTTGTACCAAGTTTCATGCTTTTAACAAAGAGTGCACAATACGGCCTTTTTTTATACTTTGCCGTCCCACTATTATGAGGAGTGTAACTGTGTCTTCCTACTTCCACATTAAAACTATTACATCTTAACATTGAAACATATATCATAATGTAATGTGGAATGTCATTTGTACAATAGGTCGTTTGTTTGTTTAACGTTCTGTGTTCAACATGGATTTGTACTGAACATAGTAATTAAATTTCGAAGATAATTGAAGAATGACAGTTTTGATACAGGTTATCTGATTGTCTTTACTAAAATAAATTAAGAAATAACTTTATATCGCCGATTTCGTGTTTCCATCAGACCATCCCAAAACCTAAGCTGAACAAATGAACCAATACAATTGAGTATATTCTACTGTAGAAGAGTTATCGTCAACTTTGGTTTGCTGCGCTATATAGTCTTCAGTGTCTGGCGGTAGGATGCCATTTGACATTTCTGCTGCGAGTGGTCTGTCACCTGCGATAGGGTTGTTTAGAGCTACATCTACCTGCTGTAGATACAAAGACTGTGCCAACTGTATATATATTTTGATAAAAAGGTTCCAATAATGCCTAATGGACAAAAGTATTCTTTTGATGTTCACCAAAAATAATCCAATGTGGATATTCAAGATATTCTCTCCCAAAACAACTCACAATTACAAACATAGATGAAAAAATCTCGCCCACACCCAGGCAACCCGTAACCCACAATGAATACGACATACCAGTTAAATCAATATGAAATTTCATTCTAGTTGTGGGATGGTGAGTTGTTTCGATCACAAATTCAGTTCTCGAATGTGAACTTATGTGGTCAACTGCAATATAAGGGAGTTTACAGTTTGCTTGCCATGTCCAAGAGTTTCTCAAAGCGATATCTGGTTATCTGGTTCATATTTTGCCCAATGCTGGTCAACTGATCGTGGATTAGTTAGCTAGTTGAATGAAAGGGTCGAACCAGTTTGATAATGTCAGCAGATATGAAGATATGTGATAGCAGCAGGGACAGTAACATCTGTTTGCAGCAATCAGATCCTGGTTACAGCTGTCAAATCTGGTGTATCAAACAGAATATAGCACACAGAGAAGGAATCCGACCTCAATTTACAGTCATGTTATTTTCTATCTATTTTCATCCATGAAATTACCCATGTGGTACAAGTTTACCCACAGTCATACCGTCCATGAAATTACCCATGCGGTTCACATTTACTCACAGTCATTCCATCCATGAAATTACCCATGTGGTTCACATTTACTCATAGTCATTCCATGAAATTACCCATGTAATACAAATTTACCTGACATGCATAAGTACTGTCAACACAGTAGCCATGAAATCTCCAAACAAAGTACAATGGAACCTGGTTACTTCGGACACCGGTTGTCTCGGAAACATTTAGGCGTTTAGAACATTGCTTAGGGAACCGACAATTTGATATTCTAATTAAACAGTGACCTTTTGTGCACTGTACTTTCCTTCGCATGATAGGGATTAAAGGATTGAAATATATGAACACACAATGCCACTTAGAAAGTGGTCAATTTTAACAAATGTTACAAATGTGTGGGTTCGAATCCCGGACGGGACTCGAAACAAAAAAGTACGAGATTCTGTACTTTACTTAGAAAGTGTTATCCCAAACATAATATTTGTTACGTTAGATTAAGATATACACATCTTTGTGAGTTTCAACGATCTTTTAACAATGAGAAAGGCCATTCATTTATATTTAAAACTGTTCGATGAGGAAAACGATGTGCGAAACGTGTTATTTCTTCAGTTGCGTTTCTTGTTCGTGTTTCGGCACTTTCATATATTTTGTATAGAGGGTTTCTTTGCATAAAATATTCGCTGATCTGTGTATAAAAATAAAGAAGCATCGATCGTACTTACTTCGTTCCTGTTTGCTGTATCGTGAGCTCAAATCGATCTAAACTTTCCGTTATGTCCAACTCTGGCAGTGACAATAGTTTTCGATTTATCATGGAATGTGAATGTTGCTCGGAAGATGAATTGGTGATTTCTAAGGATTTGGTTGGTTTGTTGTTTAATGCCACACGCGGTTATATTCCAGCTATATGACTGAGGTCTGTAAATAATCGAGTCTGGAACAGACAAGCCAGTGATTGATATCATGAGCATCGATCCACGCAATTGGGATCGATGACATGCATCAACCAAGTCAGCGAGCCTGACCACCCGATCCCGGTAGTCGTCTGAAATAATGGTGTAAACTCCTTAGTATGATTCGAGACAGATATCCAAGAAACGATATGTTAGTTTAACTAGATGCAGTCGGGAGAAAAACGGTGGCTTCCAATATCAAGATTATATATTCTTCTTCTTTTGGTTATGGTTTTGTTTGGGAATTTCAAGGTGTTGGTGAGACTAAATGGTTCTTGAATGGATTCATCCCTAGGGTTTCGGTTTTGCCCATTATGTAATTGAAAATGAAAATAAGTTTGTATTAATATGCTCTGCATATGTTAATATTCATTCAAAATATTTCCCTCGTTTTGGGTTTTAAGGTTCGTTTGTGTTGTTACAAATACAAACCTTAAATAAGCGTAACGTCGCTAAGTTTACCTTTTTTGCCCTGTTTTTCTCGGCCATCGTACTTGTACATCATACTGGCTACATAGTGTGTAAGGAAAATCTATTACTATTTTTCATGATACTATCAATTTTCAACAACAGTTATACATATTAAGTATATACGTTTTTTTTGTTTTTTTTAAAGTGTAGAAAAAGTTGGATGCAACAGCTAATTCGACCTATCGTTGCAACGGCGTCACATATAACCCTCCGTGACGTCTTTAATTGTTTGTCAATGATTTGATATGATATGACGTTGCTATGGAACACCGAATTTCGTGCTGCTAGAATACTATGTATTTGTTAGATGTAAAAAGTATTAAATTTAAGAGCATGAACAAATACAATTTAACACAAACCTTTTATTTTCATATATCCGTATGCGTTGCTTGAAACTATATGAAAGATAGGTTTGAGTTATATAATCAATAAATAGCCTAGGTCAACAGATATACAGTAAACTACGGTTATAACGAACTTAAAGGACCACTTTATTTAGTTCGTAGTAAAACCGTAGTTCGTTATAAGCACATATACAGCATAATTACAGCAAATGGACGGGGCCAAAAAAAGTTCGATATATCCGTCTGTTCGTTATAAGCGTGTTCGTTATAAACGTAGTTTACTGTACTACTTCCTTGCCTCCAAACTGCAGGGTTTACGTGTGAAGGGCAGTAACATTCTAACAGTAACCGCTATTAGTACCATACACTGTTACGCCTGTATCCATGAACCTGGAAAAAGAAGTCTTTGAAAATACGTCGTGTCAAACACAGACGCAAGCACTGTCATGCGTGCACACATTTACACACTTTCCAAATATAAAAATCTTTTTTGATCATTGTCTGAGTTGACGTAAATAACAAATAAAACATACCAGGTCCCTAACAGAACATTATTGTACAGTACAAATTGGAAGTGGAATCATCTTGATTGCACACATTAATATGTAAGGAGCCGACCATTTCATATCGGGTAGGGGGTGGATTATATGAAAAAGAAGAATTGTCCAAGGGAATGTTTGAAAAAAACCATTACACTTCAGACTGTTGAAATGACAATATCTAGTCTCAGTACAAAATCCCATGAGAATATGAGAGTATGGTTTAACGCCGCTTTTGGTAACATTCCAGCTATATCACATTTTACCAATGTCGGGAATCGAAGCCGGTTTTCGGCGTGACGGGCGAACGCTTTAACCACCAGGCTACCCGACCGCCCCACGAGAAGAAACGAAAACAAACACGATCATCAGAAACGTCGTTGCAAGTACGAATTGTCCTACTTGCAACAAACGACTTCAAGCCGCTCTGTGGCTAAAAGATTTCTAAATGAATAATTTTTCAGGCCTTATACCATATTGAGGGAAAGATATACGTGTTTGCAGTGTTTGTTTGTTTGTTTGTTGTTTAACGCCGCACTCGGCAATATTCCAGCTATATGACGGCGGTCTGTACATAATCGAGTCTGGACCAGACTAGCCAGTGATTGATATCAAGAACATCGATCCACGCAATTAGGATCGATGACATGCATCAATCAAGTCAGCGAGCCTGACCACCCGATCCCGTTAGTCCGCCCTCGCCAAGAATCGGATGCTGAAGACCTATTCTACCCCGGATAGTCGCCTCTTACGACATACATAGTCGCCTTTTTACGGCAAGCATGGGTTGCTGAAGACCTATTCTACCCCGGATAGTCGCCTCTTACGACAAGCATAGTCGCCTTTTTACGGCAAGCATGGGTTGCTGAAGACCTATTCTACCCCGGATAGTCGCCTCTTACGACAAGCATAGTCGCCTTTTTACGGCAAGCATGGGTTGCTGAAGACCTATTCAATCCCGGATCTTCATGACATGACATATTCTAACCTTCCGATGTAGTGTCATTGTAATCTACTGAAAACCTATTCATAATGCCTATTGTGTACACACGAATATATACATTTACGTACATAATCATTTTCCCTTTCTCTCTCACTTGGTGACAAACGGTTTCAGCTAATACTTCACACAGCCAGATGGCCATAACACTCGTTTGATGCTGTGTCTTGATTATATGGCTGAATATATTACTTTGTTGTCACTGGTCAAATACCCCGAGCCTTCTAAACATCACCAGACTCATTCATTCAATTTATCAAGAAGTAGGTTTGGTACAATCATTGCGAAATGGTGAAGACGTTGTTCAGAGGGATCGCAAGTGTAAGGTCGAGGTTTCAAATGTTTACATTCGCTCCTGCAAATCCCACTGTTGTTTGAGAACCTTGTTATCACACTCTGCAAGGATCACCCCTTCAGCACTTTGGATACACTTCTTGAGCACCGGGTGTCGAATTAAGCCGGTTTCCTGTAATAATAAAAGACATGCAACTTTCTAATAGACTAAAACTATGTGTTTTTTGTTTAACGCCCCACTCGGCAATATTTCAGCTATATGACGGCGGTCTGGAAATAATTGAGTCTGTATCAGACGATCCAGTGATATTGACATCATGGGCATCGATCTACCCAATTGAGATACGATGACATACATCAACAAAGTCAGACAACCCGTTCCAGTTCGCCATCTCTTACGACAAGAATATGTTGCTGAAGACCATTTCTAACACGGAGTGTACAAGGGAACTAAGACTGCGAGACAAGACATCGTATAAAATTGGCGTAGATCGATGGTCATTGAGTGTCTGATCCAGGATCAATATTTAAAGACCGCTGTCATATAGCTGTAATATTGCTAAGAGTGGCGTTAAAAACAAACAAACAAATCGGAAATGTTTGATGGAAAGTGAGAAATAAACAGAAACGTCATGAAAGAAACGTGATGCTTAATATGTGAAAGTCAAATCGAGTCTGGACCAGAGTTCCCCTTACATTTCAATCTACATGAAAGTTTATATTTCATAAAATTTGGAATTTAAGTCTTGAATTGTTGACCAGGTAACTGGCCCCTCAACTCTTGAAGGCTGGTTCTTTTGCCCAACTTTCCAGAAAGAGCTGGACTCTGCAACATTAATTGTATTCTCTTCTTATTGGGAATTGTTGCAAGAGGTTTATAAGTCAATGTAGCACATAAGTGTTCTTGTTCCCGTCTTTTGGTCTGCAACGTGATTGACTACAGTAAATATGTATTGTTTTCCCATCATGGTTGTAACATTGTCACATCATTGTCTGTTGCGTGGTTTATTTTAACCCAAACTCAACAAACATAACTGACCATAATATGAGCGCATGAACAAATGTATATACTACAGTTTGCAGTGAAATAATGTTAGCACGCATATACACTTCAATGGCTACCCTACCTGATTCCACTCCCATGGGTGTTTATGTCCATCTGGACACATGGGAAACGAAAACTTTTCTTGTTCAAAAACCAGGCAGTATTCTCCGACAGACATCTGTCCAGCTGTATTGTACCGGAAATACTAAAACATAGAGGAGACACACCATCAACCAAGTTCCTAAGACAGACCACCTGATCCATTTTGTCGCCTTACGGGCAAAAAAGGCTGCTTGGGACTTAGTCGAAGTCAATCTTATTCAAATCCGATCTAAGTTTTAGCTTCCGCTATACAAAAAGTCTGAGGTCATTTCATTACACGTCAGAGCGACCTTTCATCCGTTCAATTAAAACTTCGCTTGCCAGATCGGGAAAATAACAGTCGAAATGAGTTTTCTAATCATGCAACCCCGAAAAGGTAAGACAGTTACGGTCTGTACGACTGATTCCGTTAAAATTATCGTCTCTCCCTCGCTTCAATGGGATTAAGGAATCTTCAGCAACCCATGCTTGCCGTAAAAGGCCACTATGCTTGTCGTAAGAGGCGACTAACGGGATCGGGTGGTCAGGCTTGCTGACTTGGTTGAATGATGCATGTCATTAATCCCAATTGCTAGGATCGATGCTCATGATATCAATGTCTGGTCCAGACTCGATTATTTACAGACGGCCGTCATATAGCTGGAATATATTGCTGAGCGTGGCGTTAAACAACAAACCAACCAACCAAATCAATGGGATTAACATTTGAAACGGATGAGACTTTCCATAGCCCGTGTGAAGTACTGCCACACAATATCGGCCATCTATTAAACATTCAAAAATGTTCTTTTGTTCAGTTTTCAAACTATGTATCGAGAACTCTGCCAAAATATTTTCAAAGCGTAGTAGGGATGGAAGTCGCCAGTTTGAAACTAGTGCCATAAAGCTCAATAAATCTACTTTCAGATTGGCTAATTGCCGACTTGTTAATCATTTCAGTGGCCAGTCAAAGTACCCAAAATGGCATTCTGACGGGACCTCTAATAAGATGTCTTTAGATTTCTCCGATGCGGTAGCGAGCACAGAGATCTGTTTTTGAAAAGATTTAGTCCAAGTGAGATAGGCTTAGACGTTTTTCAGCATGGTGAAACACATCAACACGGTTATGGAGCCGAAGACATAGTTGACTTATAGATTTCAACTTCTTTTTCTTACAATGCGGGGGTACGGGTGGCCCAGTCGTCTAAGGAGCCGCAATTGGCTGTGCAGAGTTGCGTCCCTCGGGCACGCCAAAAAACCTATGGTTGTGTGTTCGAATTCCGGTTCACCCACATTATGTTTCTAGGTTTGTCTGCATCATACCCGTGTTCGTGGGTTTCGCCGAAGTGGTAAACGTCTAAGACCTGCATCACTTCGGACTTTCCTCCCACATTAAGCTGACACGCCGTGATATAAATGGAATACTGTTAAAAGCGGCGTTGAACACAACCCACTCACTCACTCTTACAATGCGATGCCTCGGTACAGATGCTTGTATTTTAATTATCATATGTCATTACAATGATGAAAGAATAAAGGCATTTAAATCCATAAGTCAGCTTTGTATTCAACGATACCACAGCTTCTATAATGTCACATGATATTTGAGGTACGGTGTTGACAAACCACGGATCATATGTGAGGGAATGTCCGCCCACAGATGAAATTAACCATGACTATGGATGGATGGTCTTGTGATGGAAAGTTTGTATAAAAAGCAGACACATGTAAACGTTTACTTTTCTCACTTACATCCGCAACTCTTTCACATCCTCCGAGCGTTAATGTTTCACCGATTTTCCTCAAACACTCGCTTCCATGTCGTTCTTTAATCTGAAACAAAAACAATGATTTATACCATTACACAATTACCAAAATAGCCCCAGGTAAAATTCTAACCATTTGGCTGAGGCGATACTAAAGGCGATCACATATCACTTATGGAAATCAAGGGCGTGTAACCCGTTGAGTATTTAACACTTATCATCCGAACCAGCCTGGTTACCTTGGTATGCTGCGCTGGCGCTACACTGTACACACCCAAGGAACCAGGCTGTATCCGACTCTGATATTCCAGATGGATGGCCGAATGAATTGGTGTCAGGAATGCCACAGCTATGTTACTACGGCAGATGTCGAGTATAATATATACTTATATAACATCTTTGGTGTCATTTTGCTGGATAACACAGTTCACATTTCAACAAGCGTATAGTCGACGAAGTCATCTATATCCCCCGCCCATTTTTACACGTTATGGCCCCAAACCAGGTAACTGGTCCAACATTTCTCTTAGCCCATGTCAAAATAGCTGCAATGGAAATTCTAAACATTTCTTAAACTCCTCAATATCAAATGGCACCAGTTCAGTATGTGGTCTTGTGGATAGACATGCAATGTTTGGCAAGGAAATATTTAACAGTTTATTTGTTGTACTCCATAAGTGAACCAATCCTATATTAAAATTTATATCAAACTTGTTGTCATGGAAACGTAAAAAATAAAAAATTCTAAAATTCCTATATAGCAAAAGGCACCAGTTCAGTATGTGCATGGTAGACATGCAAAGTTTTGTAAGAAAGTATTTAACGGTTTTTGAGATACGCTCCGGAAATGAACATCACCCTTATAGAACCCAAGACCAACTTGTTGCCATGGAAACGTAAAAAAATAAAAATTTCTAAAATTCTAAATAGCAAAAAGCACCAGTGCAGCATAAGTCTGATAGACATGCCGAGTTTCGTACAGAAATATTTAACGGTTTCTGAGTTATGCTCCGGAAACGATTTCGGGACGCACGCACGCACGCACGCACGCACACACGCACACACGACAGCACGGACGGACGAACACACGGAATCCATTAAAGTATCCCCCGCCAACTTCTTTGGGGCGGGGGATAATAACAAACGATTACAGAAAAGACTTTAAACTGAAATTTACAGAGATTGAGAGTTTTTAAGCCGATGAGGTAAAGCAACATAAGTAATTCTACCGAGGACATTATAAACTAAGGGGCAAACGAACGTAGACCGAGTTCGTTTTTTATGTAATTGAAAAGTAAAAGAACTGCTGTCAAATTTGATTATGCCATTTAACCATCACTCATTCCTGCAATTGTTTGTAAAAAGTATTTTGTGTAAAAATATATTGATTCAATGACGTAAGATATGCATTTTCAACCACATGACCCCTACCGTGATTGAATTGTTGTAACTTGCTGAAAAAAGCAAATCTATTGATTTTCAAAGATAAGACATCTGAAACATATTTGGGCATCATAACACACTCTTGTTGCACCAAGCAAATAGGCCACTTCCCGGTGACGATGCATAAACGCAACATGTCCAGTGGTATATACACAATGTGTACATTATACATTATACATACGTGACGTCAGACGGTGGGTGCACGAGGAATGACGTAATACATTGTATCATATACACAGCGGAAGAAGCCGATTAAACTCGGAATGTTTTACAAATTGCATTGCAATCTGGCGTTTTTCATTGTCAACGTCCTTTAGTAATTTAGTGTCCTTTCGTGTGCACACTGACGTTCTTGGGTACGCATTGTTCTTTCTTTTCATGTGACGTCTTTTCGTAACATTTGACTATCGTATTGCGTACTTTTGACCTATATATCAACGTTGTATTTTTTAACCGGTGTCTGCTTGTTTTGCATTTTGACCTTTATTAGGAACATTTAATACTTTATTTGTGGCATTTGACTATTATTGCGTACTTTTGTCCTTTATTTTATCTTTGTAATTTCTTTTACCGAAATGCTGCTAATATAAATGGGCGATCTTTTTGTTCCAAAGGACGATAACTCTCCTTTTGAAATGATATAAGCGACGGTCCAACCTGTCGCTTCCGGTCTGGTTCCCGGATCAATGCGCGCTGCGACAACGACTGACATGTAGAGACGGAGCCAAGCTAAAGAGTTATCCTGTTGCACCTTCGTTCAAAAACGGTCGTTTACAACTGAATATTTTTAACTAGCACATATTTTGTAGTGATTATTAGTTTATATTATCAACATTTGTTGAGTCTTCAACTACAAGACGAATTGTCACTTTGGAATATAGCGGGGAAAACGTCATGAAAAATGGTATATTGTCACGGTATTTTCTACGTAAGAAAACAGCGAGGCATTCTGTCAGTCTGGGCTAACATATTGCATCGATGAAATAATGCAAACTCATTTTATTTATCAGCCTTTGTGTTATTTCCTACAACAATTCATGCATTCAAATCTCAACAAATACTACCACGAACTTCAATTTAATAAAATTAGTGATACGCCAACATTTGCAGCACACAGACATCTTTGACAGGCCTTTACCAATGATCTATATAGTAAGTATACATCCGTGCCTTTACAAATATTTTAAGAAGAGATAACGTTCAAAATAATAAAACAACTGATTTTAAATGTTACTTTTTTTTATATTTACATCTGAATATTTAAATTTATATTATTGTTGTAGAAATAGGCCTAATGAACATCTACCATGCAGCTATTAAGCACTCAGTTACTCAGTTGCAATATGCATACTAGTCATCATACTTTGAAATAAGAGATTTACCCATATTATTCTGCCCCTTATAACATGTGTCCCACCATTAAGTGCTCTGAGTCATCACAGGTGTTAATTCATTGATCCATCATTTCTTACAGAATTCTGATACTCATGCTCTTAAAATAGTAGTTAATTACAGAGATGTGTCCCAACAAACAACAAATCATACTGAATACCCCACAAAATGTGTATGATGCATAAATAGATCTAAATCAAAGTTTTATCTTCTTGTTTTAGTAACATTATATTTTTTTTAATGTTGACAAATTTCCCATACAAACCCACACACTATCCTGCTGTATCTAAGTATCCTGATTTTCATTCAACAGTACTTCAAGACACCTGTATTTTAAAGTATATTTTGTAGTTATTATTATCATATAGCAAATATGAATTTTATATGAAAATATGAATATGAAAGTTTATCATCAAATCTTCTGATAGTTAAATAAATGGAAATTGAACCCCACAGTCATTCCATGTAGATAAATGGATTTATTTATGTTATTTGTTTTTGCATATAACAGATTATACTTACATATTTTACAGTCAGTGTCTATAATCAGGCCCAATATGTATTTTGACTGAACATTTCAGTCAATATGCATATTTATCGATTCACTCAGGTAAGGTATATTTTTTCTTAAATTTTCATTCATTTATTATTGACTAAAAATAGGACCGGATTTTAGACAGACTGGCTGAAATGTATAGACTGCATAATTTAATCTTCTCAAATTAATTTGGATCTAGTTTGATCTTATCAAGATCAAAGTAACTTATGTAAGAAATTAAAAATGTTTTCACAATGAATTGATTGATTCTCCAAACCTGAAAGAATACCAGAGTCCCAATACTAGTACACATGCACAAGTGTGCCAAGATATTAAATAAAATAATAAGAGTCATTGTGCAATGCAGATATATTTTGGTGTGAAGTGAAAAAAGAAAAACATTAATAATTTGTTTGTTGGAATTTGAAACATCAGTTTAGAACAAGGAAACATAAAAAGCAAGGCCTAATGAAGTTAAGAATCAGCTTTATCTGTGTCACAATCATATGATTATTGTCAATGCAAACTGGATGTAGACACTGCATTGTTAATACACAAACAACATTATAGAGATTGGCAATTAGTATGAATATATTGTTTTATTTTATAAAAATTGTAGTTGGTACAAATACTCTTGAATGTGTATTTTAACTAATTTATAGGGTCCCCTGTGTCTGAATTGGGTTTTTTCTGCTTTGTAAAATTAAAAAAAGGCCAAAATAATATATATCTTTCATTGATCATATTGAAATATAATCATGGTAGTATTTGGCAACAAACAGCTACCATTCATATACATAAAATCCTTGTATACAACATGCACCAATTAACCCTCAAATATCAAAACAGATTTCAGTGATTTCCATTTCTTTTATTTTGAAGATTGTATCATGATATCTAGTTGATGACGTAATTTTACAGTGCCTGTTACTCTTACAATTTCTTGAGAGCATTTCTCATTGCTCTCAGTTATATATCTGACAAATACTTACATGTGTTGCTGTCAATATTCACAACATTGAGCCTACGGGCAACGTTGCATGAGACCTTCACATTTCGCGTAACGTATCGCCTCACAGTTTAACATAATGAAATGCATGCATATGATGTGGCCTGCTCGGCGATGCTACAACATAGATATAGGAACGTATACAAAATCTACTTAATTTTCATAATCATACATCAAGGGCAACACTCTCAGTACCGATTGCAAAACGTCAACAAAGCGACCTGGGAGGAACGATCAGCTGATTTCACCGCATCGCTTCGAACGCCTATCTAGTGGTTAACTATACAATATAATCAGTCAAGGTCATCCCTGATGTATAATTATATCAAGGAACATATATTTCCGGACATGGCAATAAATAAATAATTGTTTAGGCGAAAAGATATACTGTCCGCACACAAGTGTGACCGTTGCCGACAGAGGTGAAGGTTGTACTAGTTAACTGTCTATAGGCGTCATAGTAACATGTAGTGCTCGTATCGCGCATACCACATGCGCCGTCAGTTTAAGGTTGGACCGTCCGGGTCAGCGCACCTAGCGGGTTAGTGAAGGGAAGATAAATTGAAAAAGATCGCCCATTCATTGCTTGGCTATAATATCGTTGAGATATTTTCGGTTGAAAACCAAACATATAATAAAATCAACTGAGAGGTATAAATACTTTTGCTCCTCAGTATATATAGCACACTGTATTGTCAAAAATCATATGAAAGGTTTGAAAGAAAATGAGACATTTAACAAAACTTTTTACTTTTTAAAGTAATGTGCATACTCACATTACCCCAGACTACGTTCGCTGGGGGTAGAGGATAATCCTTTACCACATCGTAGGCCACATTCTCCATGAACCATTTGAAGCTCTTACAGCCAAGCCTCTTCCTGAGTTCCAACTGGTCAGTGACATTCACCTTCATCGTCCTGAGGGCTGGATACTCAACGTAGAGATATTCCTTGTATTCATCCATCCATCCTTCCGCCGTACGGACGTTGTTCTGTGAGAACACACCAATTTCATAGTGAGTCCTTCTTAGCTCACCTGAACAGAGAGTCCAGTTACACAATCGCCAGAGTGGATGGATGGATGGTTTGTTGTTTAACGCCGCACTCAGCAATATTTCAGCGGTTCCCTCCCATAACGTAGACCTCCAAAATGCAGACCTCCCAAAAAGCAGTTAAAATTAGCTCACTAATTAATTGGGCCATGCTGTTCGACTGGTCCACTTCCCCTGCTATGAGGGATTATCAATATGTTGAGACAATGAGCAGTAGTGAACAACAACAACATTATCTTAAAAAAACTCCTCCTTTCTTTAATCTGCTCCCGGTACATCACAAATCTTATTCAAACATTACCTTTAAACAAGTTGTGGGATTTGTGTAAGAATATACCAAATGTTCTCAAGCACTAATACTTCCTTCTCTTGTGTATGGTATAACATATAAATATATGACGGCGGTTTGTAAATAATCGAGTGTGGACCAGACAATCCAGTGATTGAAATCATGAGCATCGATCCACGCAATACGATGATACGGGATACGATGACATGCATCAACTAAGTCATCGAGTCTGACCACCCGATCCCGTTAGGCGCTTCTTACGACTCCACCATCCTTCCTGTTATATGATTAATGATGAGCACATGGGCTAGGATACCCACCTGTTCTAAATAGGATCCTTTAAAGGTGAACGGCATTGTGTAATGGTAGATGTGACCCACCCGAGAGCACGGCACCATCTCAAATCTACCCCCGCACATCCATTGCTAAAAAAAAAGAACAATGATCATTTTCTCTGAAACATCATGGCGTGTCAACACAACTTTATAGGGGGGGGGGGGGGGGTCGAACGTTTACGACATGGGTGTAACAAACGAGTACTTGTATTGTTGTGACATTACAAGAGTTATTGTAACGGCGAATTTGGTATTCGACCCTCCGGTCATAGAATCCCCAAGAACGCAATAATAATAATAATAATAATAATATACTGCTCTATTCATATTTTACTTCCTTAAAAGACAGCTGTAAGCCCTCTGCTCCTTATATGATTAGGCTCTCATCATGAAGAAGTTATATTACAGCGTGTCAGCTTTATATTGGATGAAATCTCGAAGTGATACAGGACGTTTACTACTTTGGTAAAACCCACGAGTACAGGTATGTTGTGAAATTCCCAGGATCATAATCGGTCGATTATGAATTAAAACCCACGATCATAGCATCCTAAAGGGACACAAGTTTGCACCACGAATTAAAGCGACATTCAACCACTGATTCGATGATTTACATACCGCCGCATGATATGGCTGGATTTACAGGACATTCTAGCATGATTGGTCAATCAGAGGTTACAAATCAGGATAACAACCTCTGATTAAATCAGTTGAATCGACGGCCGCATCATCACGGAAGTAATATTTATAGGAAAGTATTTCTTTCTCAATCATGGTCGGTAGACGCTTTCAAATAATGAAAATTATAAATGATCCATTCATAAAATTCAAAGTGGATGCTGCTACCATTCTCAAAGTGTGTCAATACAATATTTTGACATGGACCGAAAAACTTTTACAATTTGTATGGACGACAACTTGAAACTCTCCCGTAGTGTCGGTAGTTTAAACCCTTGCAATGTTCACCAGATTCCCTTGTCCATGTGATTGCTTTCAAAGTAACTATGCTACACACTTTCATTGCCTGTCAGATAACTGAACAAAGGGTATTGGTTATCTTGCCGAGGCAAGGGAGTTAACTGACTTTATAAACCTATTCATTGGGATCGCTATTAAGTAAGAGACTTCTTTCTATAGGCATAAAGACCTATCGTGAGGTTTTACTTTCCAGTCGGGTTAAATCTCATAAAGAGGGACGTTGTAATGTCCCTGGGATATTTTTTAATGTCCTGGGTATTTTATTAATATAACTTCCGTTCAGATTGTAACATGTAATGAAATGACAAATGTTTTCTTTATATTCCCGAGGATCGAACTCGCAACCTTCATATCTGTAGCCCAGAGAGTGTACCACGAGGCTACAGAGGTGTTGATAAGCCTCACTGGTTTTTAGAATGTCCTTTTCAAGATCCGTACGCCAGCAACAGATATTTTATTCGCGCGTTCCCTAAGGTTCATGGAAAGTATGTTCGAAACATAAAAATAGTGATAAATGTTGTTTTAAGTGTTTTTTTCGGTTTATAAGCATGGAAAAACCCTTTCCCTCGGTTTTGGTAGACAGAGCATGCCCTGTCTACCAAAACCGAGGGAAAGTGTTTTCTCCAATACATAAAAGTCCAGTTACCGCACAAACTGGAAAGTGGACTTTTACAGTCAGTTAACTGCCTTGTCTCTGGAAGATGGGTATTGGTGTAACAACCAATGTTTGAGAACGTACAGGACATTGTTTGCTTAAAGGTGAATGTCGTTGATACCCTAATATAGATAGGCAAACCTACTCAAAACATGAACTCAATTCATGCCACAAAGGTACCCTCCCTCCAACGTGTACCCCCTCCCCCACCCCAGCTGGGTACCCTGGAGTTTTCGCTAACTCTTGTCTTTTCACTTACCTTGAAAGACAGCTGGAAGCCCTCTGCCCCCCATACCAATAGACTTTCATCATAGCCTCCAATGTCAAAGAAGTGTTTGCGGGTGACTGCAAACAGTCCACCGGCGTGTGTCGGCGTTCTGTGATGTAATGTACAGGGATTGCTTTCTGACTTCCTCCTCAGGGAAGAGGTCACACCATTGTCAATACTTCATGGGCTTAAAAACACCACGTTCGTTGATGGACGAGCGCAGTGGATACACGCCCGTGAAGTAGTGACAATGGAGTCTTACCAACAACAGCACACCAAGCAGGGGCTGTGGGCAGGTTGGGCCAAACAGACGGTTATATAACTGACCATAAATACGTTGATACACACCTACAGAAATACTCCATTACTATACTTATATTCATCTTTGCTCATGCTTTTAAGTTCCGGCGTCCCTGATCCAACCTTAAATAATTAAAGGCTGTCATGAAATTGACTGAATATTGCTAACGCGACAATAAAGAATCTTCAATAACTCATTCACTTATCTGGATATATAGTTTTCGGCGACCTTCTGGTCCTGTGAGACTAGTGGTTAAACCGCTGTCTTGTCACGGGTTAGATTCCCCACATGGTTACAATCTGTGAATCCATTTCGGGTGTCCCGCTTAAGGTTATTATTTCTGATAATAATTTCATCAATATGTTTCTGCTTCATTGATCTACTGTTGGTTTTATCTACAGCAATGTGATAACATGAAACCCGCGTTGGATGGATGGATGAATGGATGGATGGACGGATATGTTTTTGCTGGTCCATACTTGAGTAAATAGAGGCCACCGTCATATAGATGGTAAGTGCAGTGTTAAACAACAAATAAACAATCATTAATACAAGACAACGAACAAAAACACGAACGTGTTATATACCTAAGTATAATCTCCACAAAAAAAACTCGCCCCTTTCCATTTGAAAATATCGTTTCTCTAGGGGGACTTTCGTTATGAAAAGAAAATCCTCTACAAACTGTTAAACGTGAGCTTTTCTGTCCAAGAAGGGTAGAAATAAAGAGGTCACCATATTTACCCATAAGGTTCTGAATTGTGTTTCCACTTCCGTGCCTGCTCCGTGGGTGATACTGCTTGTTCTTTGTACCGAAGACCCCAATCGAAAACACCCTTCATCATGGTCGAATGAATTTTGGTGTAGGCGAAGTCTTGGTAATGTACGGCATCAACTGTCGGCTGTGCCATCGCCGTTCTACAAGACAGATGATTAAAACTTTAAGTTGATTACCTCCACACCTCCTTTTGGGATATTTTGTTTTCATTTTACTTCCATCCTTGAAAAAGACATGTTATTAAAGCGTCGTCAGATTCTTGAAATCGTAACAATATTTCCGTTGAATTCCCTGATGCAGCTGAATGAACGTTAACATCCTCGCTTTTCTCAAGAGGCGTCTAACGGGATCGGGTGGTCAGGCTCGCTGACTTGGTTGATGCATGTCATCGTATCCTAATTGCGAAGATCAATTCTCATTACATCAGTCACTGGATTGTCCAACCTTAATTATTAACAGACCGCCATCGTAAAGCTGGAATATTGGTGAGTGCGGCGTTAATCAACAAACAAACAAACAAACAAACAAACAAACAAACGCAATGCACCAGTTGAAGTAAAACAGATGAATGTACGTACCTGTCGAGAGCAATTCTCTGAATCAGCGGCGGTAACCAGTTCACGTTCACCTCACAATGAGGCTCCAGTATCACAAGGATTTCAGAGACTGCCTCCTTTGCCCCTCTCGTCCGAGAACCCATAGCCCCAAGTCTTTGTTCGTTCCGGTACAATTTGACCAATCCATTGAAACGTTGAATATAGTTATCTAGTGGTGCTAGAAGATGATCTAAAATGTGTATGAAGGATAGGATTTACTAGAAATGAGCCCAGTAGGGACCCGGATGGAATACGTGAAGGTCATGATTCTATGCTTGTCGTAAGAGTCTGATCAGGTTCCGTTCTTTGGCCAACGCCATGAGACGTTGCTCAAAATATCAACCCCTAGTTTATCTTTCCCATATTCGAGTGTTCGTCTGAGACCTGCATCACTTAGGCAATCCACCAACAATAAGCTGACACATGTACACCCCATAACTGTTCAAAGCGGCGGTAAACTCACACTCAGTCACTCATTCCATGACATGAAAGAACTGTTTTACAACTCTCACTACATGAAGGATAAGTATTTACCAAATTTACTCATGTATAATCCGATATTCATATGACAAACACTCGAAATATACACAATATCAGTATTTTGACAGCCAAATTTGCACATATTACAATTTCCAACGATTTATCAAGGGACTAGTAACATATATTACAGAAGAATGTAAACTATGGTAATTGTTTTTTATGTATTTTCAAGCCTACTGAAATCTTCATTTTTTAATTACCCTCTTCGAAAGGTTTGCTGTTATGAAACGTACACATATTTCAATCATATGGTTTTATTTGAGTCCTCACTACTACACTAATAATATGGAGATGGAAGCGATATATATATTGTGATGCTTCTGGCTATTGTTAATCCAACCCACCCCTGGTGCTTGCGTCGTCCACGAGGACCAGCTCTTTTAGGAGGGAGGGCGGGGAGCGGTTGATGATGCTGTGGATAGTTCTCAGGAGCGTGGTGTTGCCTTCGTTGTGGAAAATAACAATCACAGAGGCACTCGGCAGATTGCTCGGATAGTGCCAGAACTTGCACCTCGAATAGAAAAGGGCGGTGTAATACTCGATGGACACAGACAGAATTGTTTAGATTTTTTGCGTGAACAAAAGCAAACATACCTTGAAAAATAGATAGTTCTCTAAACATGATGGACGTTCTGAAAACCAGATTGTGCAGCCCAATACTCCAGAGAATACTCCATCAACACCATTATTCATATTCATAAAGTTGATCCTTGAAAAGTTGAGTTGAGTATACAGTCATTCTGTACTTTCCCATGTTTACCATTGTCCATTCTTAATTCATTTGCTTCAGCACTGATCTGAGAGAAGAAAGAAAGTTTCTCGAGGAAGCGACATGCAGCCTTCGTAAAAGTTGTTGATTCAGAAGATGTTACTCACTCTTTTTGTCTGGTGTCAGGGATCGTGCGATCCAATGAGACCTGGTCGCTCACTGCCATGTCACAGCCGTAACGGCGTAATGAATCCTGGTCTGGAGACGCGAACGCCACTGGTTTACTCCCCTCACCTACAGACACAAAAAATATCAAAATTGTTTAATGATCAAAACTGCACTTATCTAAAACATATACAATCGATATTTTGCTCGAGTGAAATATAAGGTCTTGCTGGAACTACTTTCAGTCCCACTGCCTCATTGGCACTGGGGGCGGTCGGGTAGCCTAGTGGTTAAAGCGTTCGCTCGTCATGCCGAAAACCCGGGTTCGATTCCCGACATGGGTACATTGTGTGAAGCCCATTTCTGGTGTCGCTCGCCGTGACAGTGCTGGAATATTGCTGAAAGCGGCGTAAAATCATATTCACTCACTCATTGGCACTGTGGCCTTCAGATTTAATCATGTGAAACCGCAGCATACGTTATATGACAAGGAAAGCTAAATATCCATGTATGTAATGTATGCACCGTGTCTACACCTTGTGGTAATAAGAGATGGGGATGCGGTAGTCCACTGGTTAAAGCCAAAGGCCCAGGTTCGATTCCCCACTTGCGTAAACCCAATTAACACACCTGTGGTCATACAGAAAGGCATACACGATTGTTAGATATACACAGTTGTTGGCGTGAAAGAAGGACTTGCAGATGCGTCACGGTCAATTGAGGACCTATATCACTGCTTTAAAAAGGATATACCTAAGATCTTTCAGTTTTTCTTTTACCTGTCCTAACAGAAATTATTGTTTCATCAAAGCTATGATATCTTACTAAATACTTGAAATAAACAGAAAAAGGTTCATGATTTAGTGCATTATATGGGCTGAATTGATACCTACCAGGACCTTCCACGACTCTCTCTGGAGGAGGTTCAAAGTTGCCCACCTCTCCCTCTTTGTACACAGCTTCCATTGATGCTGGAGGGTCTGGTATTGGTTCAGCCTGGAACTCCAGAGGAGGCTGCTTTGTTTCGTTGCTTATTTTGTGAACCTGCAGTTGATAACATATGTTAGAGGTTGTATTCCAGTCAAGCTCATATGATCCAGGTGACATGAGATGTCCAGATGCTTGTGACAACATCCTTCACCAAGCATGATGCTGACGGTGTGATGCATGTGACATGATGCTGTATGCTTGTGGGGGGCACGGGGGGCCCAGTCGTCTAAGGCGCCGCGATTCGCTTTGCAGAGCTGCGTCCCTTGGGCACGCCAAAAACCTATTATTGTGAGTTCGAATCCCGGTTCGCCGCGATTATGTTTCTGGGTTTGTCAGCAACAATCCCGTGCTCGTGGGTTTCACCGAAATGGGACACGTCTGAGATCTGTACCACTTCGGGCTTTCCTCCCACATTAAGCTGACACGCCGCGATATAACTGGAACTACTGAATGTGGCTCAAAAGTATGGATTCTCAGGCGTCTTAGATAAACTAATCAATTTCCATCTAAGAGTGTATGGAAGAGCATGGTACAACGAGCTATTAGTGAGTCTGAAAATATGAATTGGAGAAATACTTTGCAACAACGTCCAGACATGCATAGGTTTAGTGCTATCCACACCCGCCTTGCCCCACATCGTCTCTGGTCTCTGTCTGTATGGTATGATATTGCTCCCCCCCCCCCCCCCCCCCCCCCCCCCTCTTGTATAGGCTCTTGTAAAGCTCGGCATATTACCTGTAACGTCTGGACTGTGTCTTATCTGTAACTGTGAATGTGATGACATTGTTAAGCACCAATTGCTTTACTGTGATGGCCTAATGAAACAGAGAAATGTGCTTAGTGAGTCTCTATTTGACAATGTTAGCCTTGAAACATATCTCAGACTTGAGGACACGTCTAGTGATGCCGTCAAGATTCTGACATACCTCGGTGCTATTACAGATGTGGTCCAGGACATGACACTTGGCAGCTGGGCAACATTCATGAGTATCGTGGCTAAACATGTCAGCTCATGGAACCTAACATCCATATTGTATTTGTGAAGCTATGTCAAACATCATGTAAATATAGTTTCACGCATCACTTCATTACTGCTTACCCAGCTCAATCTGTTGTATTTACATGTATTTTGTCATTGCCGTTGTCAAATAATGTAATGTAATTGTATGTACTTCTCTCCAAATCATTGGGGGAAATAAAGAGTATTCATTCATTCATTCATTCATTATAACTGGAATACTGTTACTCACTCACTGTATGCTTGTGATCTCACAGATGTAACTGTGTATTAGTATGGAAACACAACAGGGTGACGTTGTTCAGGTATCATGGTAAGGTTGATATCAGAATCAATGCTAAATGGGAGTAGAAACGGATGACATTAAGGCCACTTGATTCAAGTGGCATGGTAGGGAAGACGGAATACAGGAGATGTGTGTGCGTGATGTAAACTATAAACATCGGTTTTGTTAGATAATGCACTCTTAGATAAGCTTGTAGTGACCGCAATTCGGATAGATAAAATATTGCAAAATAATTTTTTGTAAAAAGGGTAAGATATTAAATGATATGATATTTCCTTCAATGATGAATGTATGGGTTAAGGCCAAGAAAACTTCAAATTTGATTATGTTGGTCTTTGTGCAGAGTCTATTGTCTGAGACTTTTGGGGGAAAATCAAATATCTTTAAATTGTATTCCAGTGATTTGTGTTTTTGAGGTGTCTTGTAGCAGGGGGTGGTCATACACGCTATTAATTTGACGTGTCAATGAACATGAGCCATTTTTAGATGTGTGTGCCTTTTGTCCATTACATTGAAAGCTTCATTTTGCTACCTGACCTCAATTCGGGCAACTGTCATGTCAATATGAGACTGTATGATTGTCATTTTAATGATGATTTCGTTAAGATTTTGATTTTTTCAATACAATTTACTTCATGCCTCTTTCTTTTGAGTTATTTTAACTAGAGTGAATTAAAAATATGGTAAAGTTTCTTTTGGCCGTCATTTTATATCTGCTTTCTGCTGCATTATCCAGCACAACGTGGGATTCCGTGTTAGAATTGGTCCCATGCTTATCCGACGGATGAGTTAATCGGTCAGGCTCACTGATATGGTTGACGGCATGTTAACATACCCCGAGGGCGTGGACCGTTCCTCATAATATCAACCACTGGATTGTGTGATCAAGATTTGATTTTTTACAGGCTGCCGTCATATAAAACATGTATCCGGCAGGATAAATAACTACTCCTGTATATGTTTAGCATGGACAAACAAGAAGAGCATACCAACATATGCAATGTGTCCCGAAAGTTACCTGAACATCAAATAATACTTCTCAGCAGGGAATATTGTACCAGTGAACAGTCCCGTGAAGATACCGGGTTAGAATAGGTCTTCAGCAACCCATGTTTTGTCGTAAGAGGCGACTAACGGGATCGGGTGGTCAGGCTAGCTGACTTGGCTGATGCATGTCATCCTATCCCAATTGCGTAGATCGATGCTTATGATATCAATCACTGGATTGACTGGTCCAGACTCGATTATTTACAGACCGCCGTCTTATAGCCGGAATGTTGCCGAGTGCGGTGTTAAACAACAAACAAACAAACAAACCCACGAACACTATACCTCAGTGAATGTATCGTCCTTGCTGTTGGAGTGAAGCTGTTCCACGCTCAAGTAGTTGAGTGATACCCCGAAACAGACGAGGAAGAGAGCGCCAAAGAACATCGTTTTCCTCCAGCGTCTCCGTCCGCCGAACATGTCTGAAATTTGTAATATTTGCTTCCAGAAAGTTGTATTTAAACATCGAAGGTTGAATTAACTGTTTTAAAGTAAACTAATGTCATTAAAACCTTGGAGTTCGGAAACACAAATTATGCATGAAACAGATAATATGAGATTAATGCTTGTAAATTGACGGACATATGGCAAGAGTAAATAAGCGAATTGGGTTTTACATGGCTTTGGGGTGCACACGTATATGTTCCTGTGATTTGTTTCAGGTGCACATTTGACTTGCCACTACAAGTGTTTGATGCGCTCACCTTTTTCGTAAATACATGGTATCAACGATTCCATACTCCGAAAATGAGTGGCTTGAGTGTACATCAGTCAGGACTATTACAAGCAATCACACACTCTCACACACACGCTGATGCAAGTATCAAAACCTGTAATATTGTGTCGATACTTTTCAATATGATATGAGAGACGAGGCTCAAAATCATCTCCTTCATCAGGCTAGGTTGTCAACTCAATGATTTCATGTACTTTGTGTACTCCAATCACGATTCCTGATATCGGTGGAACAGTGGAAAATCAACACTGTCCCGACGGTGATGCATGTTGATCTGATGTTCGGCGAAACACCTGAGCCAATTGTGTATTGCTATGCAGCCTGGAAGGACCTGTGTACAGACATGCAACGCTGTATCCCAAACATTCAGTCTCACGAGGGTCTACCTTCCGAAATTGATCTGATTTCATGGTCTGATCCATCTCCTGAAAATATGGTCTTTGTGCTGGATAATCTAATAATGGGAATATGTGAACACCGTCTTATTAAATCTGAACACCATCTTGGGTATCAAAGTGATCAACACACAACAATCAGCACATCATTAAGTCGAATGTAACAGAAGTATATCCCTGATCACCCGTATGTTAATCGTACTGTCCAATCCACGTTCAGCACATGAATATTAAGTTATGACGTTTCAAAAGTACCCTGGATAATCTTAAGATTTCTCCGAGTCATTATGTACGGCAGAAAATATGGCGCCCTCGTCATTGATGAAAGTACAGTAAAGTACGGTTAAAACGAACTCAAAGGGACTACTAATTTTAGTTCGTTATAACCGTAGTTCGTTATAAGCATATATACAGCATAACTACAGCAAATAGTCGGGACCAAAAAGTAAGTTCTTTATATCCGTCAGTTCGTTATAAGCGTGTTCGTTATAACCGTAGTTTACTGTATGTACAGTGATCCACAATACGGGAGACTACATCCTGGGATAATTCCCTACGAAGTGTATACAGTGTTGTTCCCTAACGACTGAAGTACTAGAATATGCCATATTGTCATTAATATTAACTACATCACTGCCTGCCTACCGGCTGAATCAGAGACAACATTATCACAAAGTCCACATTGGTATAAGACGAAATCAGACTTTATCGAATCGTTGAATCGTGCTGTCAAATGCAACGTTGAACGTTGAACAACCCAATTGCTGGAGCGGTTGGTATTACTTCCTTTATCGAGGTCAACTTTCAGATATGACTGATCATGACAACTTGAGCTGCTTCGAGAAGGTAATACCTATCAGAGATCAACAAGTCATTTAGAAACACAAGTTGCAAATTTTTAAACTCTCACCAGTTTATTATAACTCTTTGTTTTATATGCGCTTGTGGAATATTTACGTGAGAAAAACGAGTTTCTCCAGAAGATGATCATGAGCAAGTTGATAACTAGACTGACACCTGACAGATAGTTTTTTACATAATCAGACATTGAATGAAGAGAAATCTGCAACACTGAATAATCCAGATAAAGGAAAACATAAACCTATGCAAAAGGCCACCTAAAACTGACGTGTCAAAAGAAGGGACATACAGGCAGATAACTGATGCACATTTGAATGGAACATCCCATGACTCCGTCAACAGACTGTTGTTCAAAACATTACTTCTACCTTCTTTGGAAAAACTGATGATATTGTGTATTTCAAATTGATCAAATGGACTTTAGCAATATGTCATTGAATGACAAACTGGAACTTGTAATTAAACAGGGCCAAGTTCTGCCTTTGTCTTACCTTGCACTGTTGGTATGTTATGTCATACTCCAAGACATGTATTCACAACATAACGAAGATAATCAATTTATCAACATCAAGACACGTAGATAGCCCTGTGACATTAAACAAGTCCGAACAGGTTGGTTCTGAATCTGGGAAACATCAAAGGTGTTCAAAACAAAAAATAATAAAAGGTCCCCCAGAAAAAAATAAAATAATGAAAGAAACAAAGTTAAACAAAGGAATTAATATGTCCATCAGTAGGAATGTCATTTTAATGAGGGGCGGTCGGGTAGCCTAGTGGTTAAAGCGTTCTCCTGTCACGCCGAAGACCCGGGTTCGATTCCCGACATTTCTGGTGTCCCCCGCCGTGATTTTGCTGGAATATTGCTAAAAGCGGCGTGGAACTATACTCAGACAGTCATTTTAATGAATTTGTACATCCAAAGAAATATGTTGCAAATTACATATTTTTGCAGTCACTCCAAGTATGTCTTTTTATTCATGGTGAAAATAGTTACATCAATATGATCAATGTGCTTAAAGGTTTCGTTATATGTTGCCTATGGTTGAGTGTGTATGTGTGTGTGTGTGTGTATGCTAAATTACCTGGAGCTAAAGAAAAAATATATAATATACTCTCTCAAAAAAGAAACGCATATAAGAATTTTAACTACAGATTTCTTTTATTTTGATACACTGTGGACAAGTTAAAAGGAAATGGAATTCGAAGAAATGTTACAAAGGAAATGTCAAGGTATCACTGTTTAATAAGACATCGGAAAAAGTCAGTTTATGAATCACACATCGACGTTTGATGGCGCTGAAGGCAGTACCTCGTATGACCACCATTAGCGTTCAGAACTGCGCGACATCATCTCGGCATAGAACGAATTTGTCTCTGAATCTGATGTTGCTGCAATGTAGCCCACTCTGCCTGTAGTGCATGTGCTAGTTGCTGGAGTGTCTGGGGCTGTGGGTTACGCTGTCGCACCCGTCTGTCCAGGGCATTCCAAAGATGTTCTATCGGGTTTAAGTCTGGTGATCTGGAGGGCCAGGGCAGCACATTGATGTTCTCATTCTGGAGGAAGGCCCTCGTGACACGTGCCGTATGAGGTCTGGCGTTATCCTGCTGGAATAGCTCCCTCTGGCGGGTGATAATGGGAAGGAGGTGTGGACGAAGGACTTGATCGCAGTAGCGTTGCGCTGTCAGGTTACCATGGATCAACACCAACTCACTTCTTCCAGTGTAGGATATGGCTTCCCACATCATCACGCTGCCCCTGCCGAATCTGTCCACCTGGGGGACACAGGCGTCGGCAAAACGTTCATGACGTCGTCTGTACACCCGCATTCTTCCATCGCGACGTTCCAACAGAAATCTCGATTCATCGCTGAACCAGATTCGACGCCAATTCACCAAATTCCAGGCCTGAACGTTTGTACACCATTGAACGCGATTACGCCGATGCTGCTGACGCATAACGGGGCCAAAGTAGGGTCTTCTTGCTCTTAAACCTGCCTCTCGTAGTCTGTTCCTGACAGTCTGTGCAGATATCCTTCTCAATCCGGGTATTTGCCTAGCGGTAGTGGTCGCTGTAGCTGTTCGCTGACGCAGGTGATTTACCCGGATGTACCTATCTTGCGCCGCAGTGGTGACTCGAGGACGTCCAGTTCTAGGTCCATCTTCCACCGAGTTCTGCTGCCAATATCTCTCCCAGAGACGAGAAATCGTGCTTTGATGAACATTCATTCGACGGGCGACTGTAAGTTGAGATTGTCCTGCTTCCAGGAGACCTATGGCGATGTGACGATTGGCGCGGCTCAGTCTTGGCATTTTGCAGTCTTCACAAACTTCCAAACAAAGTGAATGAAAAAAGAAGGGGATCGATCTTTTATACCCATCCACGACACGATGTTATCCCCGAGTTTCCCGCGCATGGCACGTGCAATACGTGTTCTGTGACATTAAATGCGTCTATCGAAAACCATGCTTTAACATACGGTTTTTCATGCGGGATGCGTTGTGATGTGATGAGACAAAAACACCAGAGAAATCATAAACAAAACAAATATTTTTGAAAAAGGGAATGGTCTTTCGGGTAGTTGGACGTTGGTGATCTGGTAAGAGTCGCCTAGATGGGAGCCTAGAGGAATAGTCAAACTGATAATTGTCTTTGTCCATCAGGAAAGGGCAGAGCTGCTGGCCATGTTCTTTCAGCATCACACCGTAATGGGCAGAACATCAAATCCATGGCTTGTTGCAAGATGCAGAATCCTACAAAGACTGGTTGGTGTAGGATGACAGATACGTTTTCCAAACTTGAAATGTTTGAATTTGACTTTGCTTGTATACCGTTTTAAGTTGTAATCGTTTGCCATATACAAAAATACTGAGAAGTTTGAATAAATCTTTAATGATATCACCAGTTGCTTCCTTTCATTTTGTTTATTGAAATAATTATTCGTGTTCATCCACTTGCTTGAGAAACTTTCGAAACCCACTGTATTAGGGTCTGTTAAGTTTGAGGCCCAAGTCAACATATTATTGTAAAGTGCCAAAATGAAGGATGTAATTAGATTATTTTTTGAGAGTGGCAGATAACTTGTTCCTCGTAGGTTTCTCCCCCTTTATCCCAAGTAAATCCAACAAATAGTTTCAGATAAAGTGAAAACTCGTCATAAGGGAATCTCTCACACATGTTGGGTCTACAGGCAGGGAAGTATGCAGGTCACACATTTCTTTGGTATAGTCGAGGTAACAGTCAACAACATACCCATAAGTCTCTGAAACCCAAGGGACTGTCAGTTCATTCTTTCAGTACCCATCTTCCCGAGGCAAGAGAGCTAACTGACTAAAAAGGCAAGTTTCCACCCTTGTCAAACTAGGCTGGAATACCTGGGCTCAATCGGAGCGCCACTTGTGGCTATTACGAGTTATGTCCCTTCTATGAA